TTCCTTTAACCCCACACTGCTCCCTGGGTGCTGCACAATGGCAGCCCACTGCTCCCCAAGGGGATTGGTTAAGTGCAGAGATAAATTTCTCCAATGCTAGATCAATAAAGTTTAGAAAAAAATATATATGTGTGGGTGTGTTTAAGGTGAGCTTAAAGTTTAAAATCTTAACTGTTTTTTTTTTACCCTCTTTTTTTCTTTTTTCTCAGAGCGGCTTATTTATGAAGTGAGACAGAAAAGCCGCAGCTTAGAGGGTAAGTTGTCGACGTAGATCCTCTCCAGATGCATCCAGATGTTTCTCACTAACCTGAATCATTAAAAGTCAACCTTATCAGAAAGTATGCAGCTATTCCTTTAAACTCCTAAAAATTGAACACAGATAAAAACAGCTAAGCTTTGATCTGTATCCTCTAACTGATTTGTTTCGGCTAACCTGTGTCTTTTCACTTCAGTGTGGTATCCACACCTCTCTGACGTCTTCCTGTTCAACTCTGCCTCTCTTTCCTCTCCATCCAGACCTCTGTATATCTTGTGGAAGTTTAAATGTAAGCCTGGAGCACCCTCTGTTTGCTGGAGGAATGTGCCAGAGCTGCAAGGTGAGAAATTGCCCACCAAACTTCTTCCATGTGTTAAAATAGCCTCCAGAAAGTGTAAAATAAAGGGTCAGAATTTAAGGATACTTCATGGGATTCCAAATATTTTAGCGTTCCTTTTTTAATGCTTTCATTTTTGTATTTCTGTGCTTTGCAGAACTGCTTCCTGGAATGTGCATATCAATATGACGATGATGGTTATCAATCCTACTGTACTATTTGCTGCGGCGGGCGAGAGGTACTGATGTGTGGAAACAACAACTGTTGCCGGTGAGGGTTTAATATCTTAATGCAACAAGCTTACATGGTTCTCAGCCTCATATATCCAGTTTTTTCCTCTTGTCTGCTAGTTAGTGTTGGTATTTAGGGGTAATTACTATCCTAGCAACCGTAGGCAGCTTTGAATGTCTCTTCATGAATCAGGAAAGTGGTTCCAGAGGTAAACCAGAGCTTATTTTGTACACTTTCAGTAAACTCCTCTGGGAAAAGATTCTGTTGTAATCAAATTTACTCTCCAGGAAAACGGTTTATTTAAAAAAAAAAAAATAAAAATCACATCTTTCCACTTATTGCCCAAATATCAACAGCCTAGTTTATTTTATTTTTTTTAAACATCAAGCATTGATCAGGACTGATAGCGCTGCATCCCATCAGGCTTTTTATACATTTTAAAGATCAAAGATTTTATTATATGAATAAAAGTAACTCGGCTGCTCCATACCCTCACTCTGTGGTATTTCCGGTTGTTCTTGAATGAAATAAGTCATTTGACTGCTGAAGCCAAGCTTTTACGGTGCGAACAGACGTCTTGATGGTCAGCATCTCTCCACCAGAAAACTTAAAAAGTTAATTAGTTAATACGATCAAAGGGCCAGACCAGACTTCTTTCTTTTTAAATACTGGTTTTTAATTCTGTCATCAAAGTCTGGATACTTTTTATATCTGGAAAACAACACGGAAGATGTAAAATTTTTATAATTATCAAAAACAATTGTATATTTAAAGGGGTCATACAACGAGTTTACATATCATAGATGAATAATGATAGTTCCGTGGGTTAAATGGACGTACAGAGAAGTTCAAACCCCATCAACACCTCCTTTATCTGCAAATCTCACAATTCTTAACTCCAACCATAAAACGGGCGAATCCAAACGAAGCGCCGAGTTAACGTAAACTCTGGGATGTTGCTTTATTCAGTTCTTGCCTTTACTTTTGTCACGCCCCAAAATTGACATACAGACCAGCCCACTGGTTCACTGGAACCAAAGGAGGGGGGGTAGGAAGTGTCGACTGCTGGGCTGCTGACTGGACCGGATCTCAGCAGAGAGCCATGAGCCGCCCGTCATTAACTTGTGTCCAGGCTACCGTCACCGGGTCGGTTTCGGACGCTCCGTCCCCCTCTGGCTCCCTGCCCCCGCCCGCTGGGGTTCCCGAACCAGCTCCAGAGCTGACGGCTCGGTTCTAGTGCCCGGTCTGTTTTGACTACATGCTGCACTGTAGTCGACCAAAATCACAGACGATTTTGAAATTCCCCCCAGACATTTTTTTTAGGTATAAAAAGTAGGACATGTCTGGGAAAAATAGGACGTCTGGTCACCCTACCATATCAACACTTTGATGTTTCAGTGAGGGAGTGCTTGTTGCTCGTTTCATTCTAGGGCTTTTAACCAGGCTGCATTAGGGCAGTTACAGACCAAACAGATAAATGTTTACAGTTTACATCTAAATGAGGATGTTTCCATCATTTATTAGGTGGTTTTCAGCGTTTTATGAGGATATTTGGTATTTAATCTGATTAAACGCTTCAGTTTATATAACCGAATAGAGTCACATTGGGTAAGTTTAGTTACTTTTTAGCTGCAGTGTAGCTATGAATTTAGAATCTGATTCTCCCGCTGTATCTGACCTATGATCAGTTTTCAAAGGTGTTTTCTGTAATTTAATCCCACCAGGAGTCATGAACTGATCATCAACTGAAAGTTTAAAATCCTGTTTTCAGCCAAAAACGATTGATTTTCGTTGCATTTGGATCTCTGCGATGTGTTCAGGTGCTTCTGTGTTGAGTGTGTGGACCTCCTCGTTGGTCAAGGAGCCGCCCATTCTGCCATCAAAGAGGACCCGTGGAACTGCTTCATGTGCTCTTCCAAGCGCGTGTTCGGCCTTCTGGAGCGCCGCGAAGACTGGCCCTGCCGCCTGCAGCTCTTCTTTGCAAATAATCACGATCAAGATTTTGTGAGTAGTTGGAGCTAAAGTTTTAACGTTGCAGAAAAGTGCCTGACAGAGGAGTTTGTGCTTCTTGTCCTGACTTTCCTTCAAATAGTTTTTTTTTTTTTATTTCAGGATCCACCAAAGCTTTACCCCCCGGTCCTGGTGGAAAAGAGGAAGCCCATTCGCGTTCTTTCCCTCTTTGATGGCATAGCTACAGGTTTAACATCTTCATTTCCTTTGTCAATCTCTGAAACTCCAGCAACTTCTTAAATCAGTCAGATGACTGTAAAAACCCACAGCTGTGTGAGAGTTTTGTTATTTGTTGCGCTTTGTGCAGGGCTGCTGGTTTTAAAAGATCTTGGCATCGAAGTGGATCGCTACATAGCGTCCGAGGTGTGCGAGGACTCAATCACCGTGGGGCTCGTCCGACATCAGGGGCGGATCATGTATGTTGGGGATGTGAGGAATGTCACACGCAAACATGTGAGTCAAAGAGCTTCGCCTTGGGGGGGATTCATCGATTTAAACTCCACTAACACCGAATCGTATTTACAGTTTTATTGCACAGCAGGCAACTTATCATTTTTATGACGTGTTGGAATTTTCTGTGACAGACCAACACAAACAAGCAAATAACTGTAAAGAGTTAATAAAAAAAGTTACATGATATCAAAGTATGATGATATTACGCTTTGCAGCGCTGGTTAGTTCACTCCAACTCATCTAAACTCGCATTTTTCAACATTTAAAACATTCACTTAAAACTTGTGTCATTTGAATGCAAACAAAGCTAGTGTGTCATGTAGCCCAGTCCTGCCAGCTGCAGTCCGCCTCGCCTTCATTTTTACAATAACAATTCAGGTCAGATATAGCGCTGGCGGTAAGGAAAGAGTTAGGAAGACGATGCAGGATCCTTCTTATCTCTACATAGTGGATTTAGCATAGGGGACAATAGTTTAGCCCTTAGGAGCTGGCTGATGTCACAGGCTGATGTCACAGGCTGATGTCACAGGCTGATGTCACAGGCTGATGTCACAGGCTGATGTCCACACCTTTATGTTTTAGGTTTTATAGTAGAGAGGTTCAGCCATTCGGTTTATTGGTGTAACTTTAGTTCTTTCTCTGGAGGCTCTATTTCCCATTTGACTATGATTAATGTGCTTTTCCATCCATTAATGATGTCTGTAAAGTCTGAAGGCCGTCTGGATTCAGCCCAGTAGTGCAAAGTTCCCTTGCTGCTCAGTGTTCTTACTGTTGACACAGCGGAAGGTGAAGGAATAGAAGCTAGGAACAGGAGGGAGGAGCTACAATTTGCTCAACTACAAATCGGCCGTGTCCTTTAGAAAGAGCGCTGAACTTAAAGGGGAATGCCGTTTTTTTTTTACATTGGTCCCTTGATTTTATGTTATTCCATCATGTTCTACTCACCCATATGAGTTTTGTGTCNGATAAATGTTTACAGTTTACATCTAAATGAGGATGTTTCCATCATTTATTAGGTGGTTTTCAGCGTTTTATGAGGATATTTGGTATTTAATCTGATTAAACGCTTCAGTTTATATAACCGAATAGAGTCACATTGGGTAAGTTTAGTTACTTTTTAGCTGCAGTGTAGCTATGAATTTAGAATCTGATTCTCCCGCTGTATCTGACCTATGATCAGTTTTCAAAGGTGTTTTCTGTAATTTAATCCCACCAGGAGTCATGAACTGATCATCAACTGAAAGTTTAAAATCCTGTTTTCAGCCAAAAACGATTGATTTTCGTTGCATTTGGATCTCTGCGATGTGTTCAGGTGCTTCTGTGTTGAGTGTGTGGACCTCCTCGTTGGTCAAGGAGCCGCCCATTCTGCCATCAAAGAGGACCCGTGGAACTGCTTCATGTGCTCTTCCAAGCGCGTGTTCGGCCTTCTGGAGCGCCGCGAAGACTGGCCCTGCCGCCTGCAGCTCTTCTTTGCAAATAATCACGATCAAGATTTTGTGAGTAGTTGGAGCTAAAGTTTTAACGTTGCAGAAAAGTGCCTGACAGAGGAGTTTGTGCTTCTTGTCCTGACTTTCCTTCAAATAGTTTTTTTTTTTTTATTTCAGGATCCACCAAAGCTTTACCCCCCGGTCCTGGTGGAAAAGAGGAAGCCCATTCGCGTTCTTTCCCTCTTTGATGGCATAGCTACAGGTTTAACATCTTCATTTCCTTTGTCAATCTCTGAAACTCCAGCAACTTCTTAAATCAGTCAGATGACTGTAAAAACCCACAGCTGTGTGAGAGTTTTGTTATTTGTTGCGCTTTGTGCAGGGCTGCTGGTTTTAAAAGATCTTGGCATCGAAGTGGATCGCTACATAGCGTCCGAGGTGTGCGAGGACTCAATCACCGTGGGGCTCGTCCGACATCAGGGGCGGATCATGTATGTTGGGGATGTGAGGAATGTCACACGCAAACATGTGAGTCAAAGAGCTTCGCCTTGGGGGGGATTCATCGATTTAAACTCCACTAACACCGAATCGTATTTACAGTTTTATTGCACAGCAGGCAACTTATCATTTTTATGACGTGTTGGAATTTTCTGTGACAGACCAACACAAACAAGCAAATAACTGTAAAGAGTTCAAAAAAAGTTACATGATATCAAAGTATGATGATATTACGCTTTGCAGCGTAATATCATCTTTGCAGTTCACTCCAACGAACGGAAACTCGTCTAAACTCTCATTTTCTTTTTTTCAACATTTAAAACATTCACTTAAAACTTGTGTCATTTGAATGCAAACAAAGCTAGTGTGTCATGTAGCCCAGTCCTGCCAGCTGCAGTCCGCCTCGCCTTCATTTTTACAATAACAATTCAGGTCAGATATAGCGCTGGCGGTAAGGAAAGAGTTAGGAAGACGATGCAGGATCCTTCTTATCTCTACATAGTGGATTTAGCATAGGGGACAATAGTTTAGCCCTTAGGAGCTGGCTGATGTCACAGGCTGATGTCACAGGCTGATGTCACAGGCTGATGTCACAGGCTGATGTCACAGGCTGATGTCCACACCTTTATGTTTTAGGTTTTATAGTAGAGAGGTTCAGCCATTCGGTTTATTGGTGTAACTTTAGTTCTTTCTCTGGAGGCTCTATTTCCCATTTGACTATGATTAATGTGCTTTTCCATCCATTAATGATGTCTGTAAAGTCTGAAGGCCGTCTGGATTCAGCCCAGTAGTGCAAAGTTCCCTTGCTGCTCAGTGTTCTTACTGTTGACACAGCGGAAGGTGAAGGAATAGAAGCTAGGAACAGGAGGGAGGAGCTACAATTTGCTCAACTACAAATCGGCCGTGTCCTTTAGAAAGAGCGCTGAACTTAAAGGGGAATGCCGTTTTTTTTTTACATTGGTCCCTTGATTTTATGTTATTCCATCATGTTCTACTCACCCATATGAGTTTTGTGTCATTTGGAGCCGTTCTGAAGATATTCCGTTAGGTTATATCCAAGTAACGTCTTGAAGGCACAAACTAAACTGTTCATCATTTATTCTTTATGGTACGCCAGCATTCAGAACAGGTAGGCCAATCAATAGGGCTGGGTATTGTTAGGAACCTCACGATTCAATTCCATTTCGATTATTGCTGTTGCGATCCGATCCGATGCAATTCAATTCGATTCAATGCTGATTTTTGAAGCCGTGTGACTCCAGGAGTTTTAAGAGCAGCCTGGGATGCCAAGTTGTGTAAATGGGCAAAGCAGCCTACATGTAACAGCTCAGTGATATTGACAGCAACTAGCATGTTGGCAGCATTATCTGTAACAACAGCGGCTACTTTTCCGGTTGTGCCCTATTCATTTATTGCCTCCCTGTGTGACTTCCGTGAAGCAGCCTGATCTGAAGCACATTTGGAACTAATTCCCACTCATTTGATATGAAATGAGAAGTGGTGGTTATGTAGTTAGTCGCTCTCAAAGTCCAGCCATCGCACGTCAGCGCGACTCTTTCAGCAGCCTTTAGCGACTCCATCACAGCCGTCTTCACCTCTGTGTAAAGTGCCGACAGCGCCCCCGAAGGTCAGGAGGTGAATCGATTCCGAGGGGCTCCCGCATCGATTATGAATTTTGCGTGTAATAATTGCGACGCATCGATTCTTCAGTTATTTTACCCACCCCTACAAATCACTGTCCTCCAGACATCCACGGTTATATTTTTTAGATTTATATTTTTATAAACAAAGCAGAGTGTGTATGACGTCATCCGCGCACCGGACTGGAGTTGTGACAGGCAGCCCGGGCCACAGGCGGCTACGCTCTACCTCTTATATATTCGGCCAGCTAATCTGAATCGAGCGAGATCATCTGTGGTAGCAGCACTAGACATCTTCCAGGCATGTGAGGAAAACTAGCATCAGTTCAGCGGACAGGAAGAATGAATGGTAGCCGGCACGACAGGATGACGTCATGCACGCACCGTTTTGTTTTAAAAACATATAAATCTAAAAAAATATGAATGCTGACGTACCATAAAGAATAAATTATAAACAGTTTAGTTTGTGCCTTCCATACGTTGCCCATAAGAAGACGTTACTTGAATATAACAGAATATCTTCAGAACGGCTCCAAATGACACAAAACTAATATGGGTGAGTAGAACATGATGTAATAACGTAAAATCAAGGGACCAATGTTAAAAAAAAAACTGGTGTTCCCCTTTAATATATTTTCTAAAGGTCTTCATAAAAGCAAGGATTCCAATGCGGAGAGGTCTTTGTTAGGTATTTTTTGTGAAAAGGTCTCAGAATTTTAAGTAGGTAAAGTTTAGATCTGTTGTCCTTTGCGTTAGGCTTGTTTGAAATGTCAGGTTTATAGCCAATGACTTCTGATATGCTGCAGTTGAACCTTAATCCTAACTATATTCTACCCAGTAAATAAAAATTATAATAATTAAACAATCCTGAAAATTCAAGAGATTGAATCCTGTTAATTTATTTGCTGTCTTTGAATCCCCTTTAGTTTGACTTTGTGTTGTATCCTTGCACAGATTCAGGAGTGGGGTCCATTTGACCTTGTCATTGGTGGAAGTCCCTGCAATGACCTCTCGATAGTCAACCCTGCAAGGAAGGGCCTTTATGGTGCGTTTTAACCTCTTTGCTTTGTGTTCTCCTGGAAGGATTTGTGACCTTTCTCATCTAGATGTATATATATGGATAATAATATCAGAAAGTCATCAGATCACGTGTGTTAATGTGAGGGCTGTTTTTTATTTTGCCCCACAGGAGGAACCGGCCGCCTTTTCTTTGAGTTCTACCGGCTGCTCCACGAGGCTCGGCCGAAGGAAGGAGACGACAGGCCTTTCTTCTGGCTCTTTGAGAATGTGGTCTCAATGGGTGTCAGCGACAAGAGGGACATCTCTCGCTTTTTAGAGGTCAGCTTCTCAAGGGATAAAGAGTTAAATACAGTAAAAAAAAGTATGCCCCCTGCTGATTAAAGTTTAAACAATGTTAAATAATCTGTCATTTATCAGACT